GTTTCAATATATTTAAAGAGCTTCATTCTAGAAGAGAAAATAAACTTTTTCTGTGTGGCTCTAGATTAGCTGTAATAAGTGAGGGCCATTGTAAAGAGGCAGAACTTTTCTTTTTTTTTTTCTTTTTTCGTCTTTTTTCGTGACCGGCAACGGATCGCAACCCTCAGTGTCGCGCCCGTACCGGATCCTTTTTTCGTCTTTTTTCGTGACCGGCAACGGATCGCAACCCTCAGTGTCGTGCCCGGACCGGGACCGGCAACGGGATTGCAACCCTCGGTGTTGCTCCCGCACCTCGCTCAGCCAGTGAGCGGCTGGTCTGTATGTGGGATCCGAACCCTCGGCGGGAGCACTGCCGCGCTTCCCAAGCGGTGCACTGTAGCAGTGCGCCACCAGGCCGGCCCAGAACTTTTCAATTAATGGTCAAGTCAGCCAGCTTTGGAGGTCATGTGTTTGTTCAAAGAAGTGTTTGTTAGAAGCATCCTTGATTAGAAATATGAGATGCCATTTCTCAGCAGTGTTGTAGAGGAGAGAGTTCCCTGTGTGGGAATCTAAATTGCTACCTTCCAAGGTTTCTTCTGAAAGTCTATGGTTATTCCTTTCTTAGCAAATTCCCTTTGGCCTGATCTGGGTATAGTTAAGGCTGTGGGAACTCAGTAGCTGACTCCACAGGGTTCTGGCTTTGTACTAATGTAGTTGTGACTTTCAAGCAGTGGAGAGTTTAGGCTTGTTTAAGCAAGGCTATCGTTCTGTAGGAACATCACCTAAATTTTATAGTCTTTTTGTTTTTTAAATTTTTTTATTGAAACATAATTGATTGTACATATCTGTGGGGTACAGAGTAGAATATCAATACCTGTGTGCAATATGTGATGCTCAAATTAGGATAATTAATATATTCAACATTATACAATGTAATCATTTTTTGTAGCCCTTTACCAATTTCTCTTTAACTTCTCCTCCATCTCCCCCTTTCCCACCTCTAGTGGCCTCAGTTCTGTTCTCTCCTTTTGATAGTTCAGCTAATTATTGTGATTGTTGTACCTTTCTTTCTTCCTTTTTTTTATTTTAAATTTTATACTCTTAACTTCTGTGTGGAATGAGCTGCCCGTTACTGTACTGAGCCTAATTTAAAGAAACTGAATTCTTCAGCGTCTCTCCAGTTTCTATTTATTTTTGTGAGGAGGCCTTTTAAAGAAGGCAGTTATAAATTTGACAGTAAAATTTTAATCCACAGACCTTGCAAACAGCCAGATGACATGCATTTTATGTAGCTTTAGGTTTATTATGTGGCCCAGTGGGACAGTAATGTGCTTATGATATGCAGACTTGAGTCTTCAATAACAAAACTTTTTTTTTTAAGAATAGTTATAAGAAACATATCTCTGGAATATTTTCTCCAAATTTACTTTATCTTTAGTTATTTCTCCTAGTTTTATGGTCCTTTTTTTTTTTTGGTTTCACACGACCTGAAGAAGAAATATCATTACCAGTGAATACTGCTACTGTGGAGCAATATATATTACTGATAGAGTCAGGATTATAATTTTTAATACTGAATGGCCCTGATAAGTATTTTATTTTACTGTCATGAAATTAATATTTGATACGTGTGGCTAGAAATGTACTAATTTGGTAATTTTTGTACCTATGCCAAAAACCTTCTGAAGCATTTTGGAGACATTTTAGTAGGTGTTATAAATAGTGCAATAAATTTCCTTATGTGTTTTCTACATCTGCAATAGTAATCAGACTTGGTACATAAAAAGAATTGGTGGTACATAAAAAGATGTCTTTCAAAGTGCATGTTCATGGTCAAGTTCGTTTGTTACACTGGCAGATGTTGGTGTCATCAGAGACTTGGCATTTAAACAGAATGTTCTATAGCCGAAGGATCATTCGATTAATAAATCAGTGAAAAGTATTCTTCAGAGATGAAAAATTGAAGGATAAGGCACCTTTTAAAAAGCTTAATTTTATTTGGTAATTGTAAGCTGTATTATATCTTGGAGACACAAGTCCTCTATCCACAACTTGCAAGCCTTGTACTACCACCTTACTTAAACGAGGTGACCTTGAAGGGTCTTCCTACCAATTGAACACATGGGTTCTCTGCTGTGATTTTCCCATGTTATGCCATCCCAACACAGATGGTGGTGTTGGAATCTTTTTCGACCAAAGTACTAGAAGTATTCACCCGGCTATGCACTAATACCTTACTACTTAAAATATGCTGTTGACTTTAGGCCAATATCTAGATGTAGCTTTGGTTCAGCATAGTTGAAATGCATTATGTTCTCCCACGTTCTTTAATAATCAAGCTACTAAGTCATTTCTGTAAGTTGTTTTGTCCTAGATTTGGAAAAAGAGAACTAATGATTTAGGGTGGAATATAGTATTTTGGGGAGACTGAAGCAATCCTGTGTTCCAATTTAGATGCTCTAAAAACAAAATTTTTTCTTTTTATGATAATGCTATCTACTCATTTTAGAAAATTCAAACATCAAAGAAAGGTATGAAGGAGAATGTAAACATTCTGTCATATACCACTCTCTACTTTCCTATGAAAACCCTCCTCAGTGTTTTTTAGAACATCTTCCTAGACTCCATTCTATGAGTATATATACATAGGAGTAGATATGTATGTACTCAAATGAGTGGATAGTGTTATCACTTAAATGACATTCTATACATAATGCTTTACATTCTGCTTTTGACACCTAAAGTATGTTATGGATAATTTTCTGTATCAGAGAAAATAAGTATATAATTATAATATCCACTATAATTTAGTTAACCAGGTTTATATATTTTTTATAGGCACTTAGGAGTTTTCCGTTTTTAAAAAAAATTTTAATTGTACAAACACTTGTCAGATATATTTTTATAAAGGGAATTGGTTAGTCAAGAGGTATGTACATTTGTCATTTTGGTACATAGATCCACATTGCCACCCAGAAAATTTACATTCACAATTGGTATATGAGATAGTCTGTTCTTACCCTTTACTCAACACTGGATGATATCCATTTTCTTCATCTTTGACAATCTTATATACCACAGAGAGTATCATTGTTTTTAATTTTTCATTCTTTCGTTGCATTTATGGCTTTAAATAGTAATATCATATGTAATCTGACATCTCCAAATTTTATACCCCATAATGCAGACTTGAGCTATTTTACTGCCTACTAGACATCTTTTAACAGTCATTTGAACATGTCCAAAATTGAACATCTTATCTTTCACCAAACTTGTTTCTCGCCTGCTTTTTCATACATCTGTGGCTCAGGTCACAAATCTTAGAGTCATGCTTGCTTCCTGCTTTCTATGTCTCATGCTTCATATCCAAGTCCCTCCACAAAACCTGCTCACTTTCATAAGATATCCAGAATCCTACTCCTGCTCTTTACATCTGTGGCTACCACCCTGGTATAAGCCTTCATCACCTCTTGTTTGGTTTATTACTGTTGCTTCTCTGGTTTCTCTGTTTTTTGTTGTCCCCAACATCTTGTTCTCACTGTAGCCGCCATAGCATCCTGTTAAGTAAGCATCAAGATGATGCTTAACATGCCCTCCTTTAGAGATGGCACATCTCTCTCATGCCACACTTTAGAGATGGTACATCTCTCTCATGCTAGCTACCCGTTAGAGATGATACATCTCTCTCAGAGTAAAAGATGAAATCCCTGCAATGGCCAGCCCAGCCCTACATGATTTGTCTCTCTCCCCTACCTCTCACATTTCTCTGACCCTCATCTCTCCACTTCTTTTCCCTTTGTCCATTTTATTTTGGAGTTTTTATCTTTTTTTATTAATGTACCATCACTCTTTATATTAGCAGTATTAAAGTTATGTTTTATGTTGCAAATATTTTCTTTATTTGTCACAAAGGTTTTTGCTTTGCAGTTTTAAATTTATATTTCTCATCTGAATATCTGTTTTTCCGCCATGCTTAAAAAACCTTTCTCCACTCAAATATTATTTTTAAAATTTGCTTATATTTTCTTCTAGTACCTTGAGGGTTTTATTCTTCACTTTAAAAAAATACCTGAATTGATGTGGAATTTATCTTATTGTAAGAGGTGAATAATAGACCCAACTTAATTTTTCCCTGAATGTCTAGATCATTGCCTCAAAAGCATTTATTAAACATTCTACTATTTTCTCACCAGTATGAAATGTTGCCTTTTCCTACCATATATATTTTATGTAATGAAAGAAACCTACTCTTTTTTCTGTTTTATTGATGTATATATTTCCATACTATCATTTTTAATTTCTGTAGCCAAATAGCACATTTGAATATTTGTGATTTATCCTGATTTTTAAATATTTGTTTTCTCCATCTTTTCTCTATATTTTCACAGCTGAAAACAAGCATGATAATCCCTTTCTTGACAACATTATGTTAATAGGTAATGCTTGTATCTCAAATATAATGTCCATTAAACAAAGTGTATAAGTCAGTATGATGTGAATAAAGTGATTTTCCTTTAAATTATTTTATTTATTTTTATGCCACATATATTATAAAAACCCATCAGTTATATGGTTTGTTTTATTGTAATATGAGAGCATAGTTCAATTTGGGGGGTTATTTTTATTTTTAGTGTTTATATGTATATTCATATTAGCACTTTGAAATAATAGGAAACATTTCCTTTACTATGTGTCAGATTTTTAATTAATGTGAGAGTTTGAAAATACAGTTTTTCTCCTGCGAACACAGCACATTTGTGTTCACAGTTTTATGGTGGGAGAATGTCACGAGAAGAAACAGGATAGATTTTTAATTAATGTGAGAGTTTGAAAATACAGTTTTTCTCCTGCAAACACAGCACATTTGTGTTCACAGTTTTATGGTGGGAGAATGTCACGAGAAGAAACAGGATATTGCCTACCTGCCCTTCTTTCTCTTTTACATCATGAATCCAAGACCCAGTGATTGTATGACTAGTTGATTCTAGATCCTTCTGACTCACAGAGTCTTTCTTCTGCAGACCCACTCTGAGGAGAGACCATTCCAATGTGAGAAATGTAAAGCTTTGTTCCGGACCCCATTTTCTCTGCAGAGACACCTGCTAATACATAACAGTAAGTCATGATTTAGACCGTTAAGAACAAAATGAATTGCCTCACATTTTGCTCTTATAACCTTTGAGAATGTAGGCATCCCAGAAGTGTACCTATAAGTAGTTATGTAAAATCTGCTTTTAAACATAAAAAGGAGCAATAATTCTGCCTTTCACCTTTTCTTCCTTTATCTTTGCTTTTTCTTTCCACAGTAAGATTAATCATTTTATGAAATATTTGATTTTATGTCCTTTCTTCCAATTTTTTAAAGTTTATATATAAAAATATTTCCTATATTCAGTAAGGTATCTTCAACTTTGTTTTGAAATAGATGTTTTTGTTCCCTTTTAAATGTAGTGATTAAGGAAACATGTCTGACTCTTTACAGCATGGAGATAATTGGCATGATTTTATTCGCTCACAAACTTTTAAAGTTGGACAAGATCAGAGTGCATATCTAATCTAACACCTAATTTGAGAAGAATTTAAAATATTGAGACTCAGAGAAGCATAGCGACATACTCAGGGTCTCACAGTGCCGAGGAGTAGCATCCAGGTCTCCGCTAGTCAGGTGCTTTTCTTACTTACTACATTGCCTCTGATTTCTTCTTTTGTCAGAGGCTTTTTTTTCTTTCTTTTGTATTAAGTTCTACACAAACACACATAAAAGTTACATTCAGAGCTATTTTTAGAATACCACAGAATTTTTAGCCAAGTCATTGAAAAATATAATTGAGAAGAAAGTGTTGTTGCTAAATTGAGTTTTAATGTGGGTTCTCTGTCAAATGTTGAAATAACCAGAGATTTACTAAACAGCTATATCTAAAATTAAAGAAAAATTGAATCGCATGGGTAATATTTATATTTCTTACTTTTAATTTGAGTTGCTTACTCAGTAGAATATATTCTATACATGTGAAGTTCCTACTGTTGTTTAAATATTTCCGAGGAAAGCAAAACAGTTCCATCAGTCTTGACGACTGGTTGTACAGGTCAGTGTCTTGGAATAAATTTTCTATGGTCAAATTGAAATGTATAAAATGTAAAATAATAAAGATGTTAAAGTGCTTATAAATAGTGAGTAATGATTACAAGGAAATGCAATCTGCCTTCTGTAGAAAAAGATAGTGTTATGCTTTCATGCTATGTGTTCACCTTATAGTTCTAGAGGAGTTGTTAGCAAAACTTTCCATTTTTCTTATGAAGAAAAACTGTGCATTTAAGAAATAAAATTTGTTGCACAACAGCAGAAATTTTCATACTATTTCACTATCATTTTTATTAACAAAAATAACTGTTAGGAGTTGAATGGATTTTTAGATTAGGGATTTAGACAAGTGAAACTCATTCATGAATGGATACTCATTTATACTCATTCATATTAAGATTTATGTGGCTAAATTTGGCTTGATGCTCAGGGAATTTTTCTTGGAAAGATTAAATTTTATTTCTAATAGCAGCAAGGTATTTTCAACAGAAGGAATCAGATACTTTTGATTTTAGCTTATTGATTCTCATTGTCTTGAGAAATAGGATTGAAGTGGCTGTGTAGACTATGCTGTACATTTTGTATTTAATGTGATATTGATCAGCACATTAGTCAGAGACTTTCTGAAGCTGCATCATGACATTTGGTCAGGAAGATCAACTTTGACAATTGAGTAAGTAAATGAGTTATTTAAGGGAAACTTGGACATCAATGAAGGCCAATGAGTTAAAAGGATGGAAAAATCAGAAATAGCTAGAGCAGAGAGGTCAAAATACTAGGTTTTGTCTCACACAGTATGAAAATTAAACCTGTTTAACTTTAAAATATGAGGGCTGTTATTAGAAACTTAAATCAGCATTCTGGCTCAAAATATAAAGAATAACTTGTCATAATTATTTTGGATATTATTGCTATTTCCTAATACACTGAAAACCAAAAGGCAGGTTGCTGGCTAGCTTTTAGGTGTTAAGATAGGGGAAAATTTGGATAAATTTGAGACAAAGAAACCTGGAATTAAAATACGAAAGAAGAAAAGTAGGGACTTCCTTGGTATAACTTGATTAGGTTTTTTTTTTTTTTTTTACAGGGACCAACATTTGATTCACTTGATAGTTTAATGAAAATGCTTTGATAGGAGCAATCTTTTATTTTTTTTTTTAACTCTTTTAGTGCCTGAATAGATTTGGTATTGGTAACATTAACATTTACAATCTTACATCAGTTGATATTTTCTTATACTCTCACTGGTTATATATTTCATACAAATAAAATGTTTAAATATAAAAATATATAAAGACAAAGTTTACAAGAATAATACCCCTCAACAAAACTGCACAAAGTCAGCAAATAAACAAAGCTCTCAATCCACACAGTTCATGCCTGATTTGCATATGACTTTGTTTCAAGTATCAAATGTTAACAGAACTGTAAGAGACTAAATTACAGAGCCATAATTCTGTTTGAAAAGACAAAGGAAGGTAATTTTTCTTTTCTTTTTTTTTCTTCTTTTTTTCCTCTCTTTCCTCCCTTAAATTTGGTAAGAAGAAACAATGTTTTCACATTTCTAAATTTAGTATTAGTTACAATGGAAGGGAGTTAGAAAAGCTTAGTTGAAATTGAGGTAATCTCTTTTTTAAATATAGAAATTTGGTTATTTTTATATTTTGCCTTGTCAATATGATATGTGAATCTCTGCTAATATAATTGTTCTCTAAAAAGAGTACATATAGTCAAATACTAGTCCATCTTAGACATATAATCATGTGCTTCATGCATTTTATGACATTCTGTTATAAAAACAGTCTTCTAATTGTACACATTCATTGCTGAAATTGCATTTATAATGGACCAATAAAAGTTAGACATATATGTTAAGAAGATCTACAAAGATAGTTGAAGTACTGGGAGATCCCTAAACATAGTTTCTGGAGTTGCTCTCCCCTCAGGCCTATTCTAGGTAATGAGAAGAAGGTGAAAACCCTCACAGGTACGCAGGGGCTCTAGGGTAGAAAACTGTAGTTGTCACTCTTCATTCTCCTGTCCTCAACCTGTCTCTCGGAGAGCCTGGTAGATTGTTTCACAGCAGTCCAAGGGCCGAGTCAGGGAGCCTCCAGTTCAGGTTCCTGAAACAGTGCCAAGGAAGGAGGGGCTGTTGGGTCCTTGTGCCTCTTCTGGAATGAGAGGGCCTGCTGTGATGCATATCTGTCTGCCCTCAGCACCTCCCTGCCCAGCTCTCTCCCTGTGACCCAGTTCTGCCTGTGCTGTATCCACTGGAGGCTATAGGGACAGTGGTGGGATTTGAGGGGAGTTTGGGAGGAGCCCCAAAGGCAGCTCGCTTTGCTTGACAGAGGCCTGTGTCATCACAAAAAGCTAACTTTTTGGAGAAAACAATATTAAGTCTGCTATACATGAGGGGGAGTTAATAGGACCCTGCTACTATTACATCTTAATGTTTCTCTTATTTGACCTTTTTGTTTCTAAGGTGAGAGGACCTTCAAGTGTCATCACTGTGTTGCTACCTTTAAACGGAAGGATACATTAAATGTTCATGTCCAGGTGGTCCATGAAAGACACAAGAAATACAGATGTGAGCTATGTAATAAGGCATTTGTTACACCTTCAGTGCTTAGAAGTCATAAAAAAGTAAGTAGAAGCCTTCCATTAGTTTCAGTGGATTATATATTTAAGCAATATGGGCATATGTATTATGTGATAATTTTATATTAATTTTTCAACATATTTACTCAAAATGTTATATGCATGATTTATATCATTTCTTCAGAAAATGTCCATCTTCGTCATTTGTCAGAATATACATTTTTTTTTTTTTCATGAGAGAGAATCTCAGAGTTAGATGCAAATTCCCCATAACCTTCAACTGTACTGATGTGTGGGTTGTATAGCATACTCAATGAGTGGGAGCTTAAAAATTGTTATATATTTTTGGATGAATATAGGTTTTTTCTTTTAAAGAAATATGAGTAGTGTCTTAGTTTTTTTTTTTTTTTTAACTTGTATATAGATTTTATTTTATTTTTCTTCCAAATTTCATTTTATTTCATTTTATTTTGTCAATATACAATGTGGTTGATTTGGCCCTTTACCAAAACCTCCCTCCCTCCTCCCTCTCCCCCCTCCCTCCCAACAATGTCCTTTCTGTTTCCTCGTCCTGTCAGCTTCAAGGAATTGTAATTGTTGTGTCTTTCCCCCCCCCCCCCCTTTTTTTTGTGTATTTATTTATTTATTTTTAGCTCCCACAAACAAGCGAGAACATGTGA